CTATACTTCCTACCTGGCCAATCAGCGTTTTATTAAAATACATGATTGACAGAATACAGATAATTCTCCCGCACCATTAGCCTGCCCCTGGTGTTTCATTACAGTGACAAAGCGATTAAGACATCAGTTATGAAGGATAAACAAAGTCAAGCATGGGTTTAGCATCTTTAAAAAAGGGTATGTAGGCAAACTAGTTGCTGACTCCTGCTGGGTCTCTTAGGCTGTCTACAGTGGAGTCCTACTACCTTGTCTCATGCCATTTTGGAAGTAGTGCTATGTCCGAAGATAAGTGATAAATACTTATTACTTGATAGCAATGTAAGCATCTTCAGTATAGTATAGTATAAAATCCCAGGAGGAGCGAGCTTGGTGACACATACTTTTTGTCCTAGTACCCATGAGGCAGAGACAGGCAGACCTCAGTGATTTCAAAGCCAACCTGGTCTACATAAAGAGTAACAGAACACCCAGGGCTATATAGTGAGAAACTTAAAAACAAGGAAAGAATGGAAGAAAATAAAGAAGGAAGAAGGGAGGGAGAAAGGGAGAGATGGAAGAGAACCCTTTCCAAAAGCAGTCTGCAAAGCCATACTGAATCCATGCTGGAATCCTACACAAATGGCTATCCCCAGAACCAGCTTCTGTTCAGTGACTGATCTCAAGCTACCTTAGATGCAAAACCGAGTGTGAGGTTTAAGGAAAACTCTTGCCTCCTAAACACTGCAAATATCAGGATGTAGAATCAGTTTTGCTTCCCCATGATGCTGACACTTTTCCGAAGACCTGCATAGGTCCAGAGAACCCACATTCCTACAACCCACCCCTTTCGTGTGCTATGATCAGACTATGGGTGTTCGCAAGATCGCACATCTCCACAACATTTCTGTTAGTGGGAACTAGCTTAAAGTGCCTGTCCGTCCCCACCGCCACTCATGCCATTGATGACTGGGCCAGAAGGGGAAAAAGACTTTTCTGGCACATAGCATTGTAAGTCAGCAGAGGGACATTGCTAGTTGCTCAGCTGTCCCGTGAAGAGGGCTCTCCTTCCTTTCTTCCTTGGTCTGCTCCTTGAGTCTCACCCCAGTCTGGGCTCCCAGCTTCCCTCTCAGACTGTCTCCTGCCTGGGCAGGGACTTCTCTGTTTCTATCTCATCTCACCCCTACCTCTATATGAGGAATATGTCCAGGAACCCTGGCCAAAACCCGCAAATTTATCACCTTGGTAATGACAGCATGCCTCATGCTGAGCAAATTCTGCAATCTCCCTCAGCTCCTCCTTTGCCAAAACCCACGGAGCTGCAAGATCCTGCCGATTAGAGCGACTGTTATCTTTGCTTGAAGAATGTCTCTGCTGGCAAGTGTAATTAGGTATCAGCCATAAGGCTATTTTTGGAAATTTGTTTAGGGATATGGCCCTCCCACCGCAAATGCCATATGGTGGGGGATGTCAGTCAATTTGCCACAATTGAGCATTGGGGATTACATTTTAAAACTGCCTTTGTCAATATGTGATATTATAAAGGCCACATTTTTTGTCCCTTAGAGGTGCCTTATTCCAAGTGTGTTTGCATATTTGTGGAGTTTAGGAAATTTTCCCTTTTTATTTACATGTGCAAACCAAGTCCTATGGAAAATCCTTAACCCCTCTCATTCTACAAAAGCCTGCTGCAGGGATGGGGAGGCTATCACTAAATGGGAAGCAGGGCAGCTGGAGACAGACTCGGCCAGACTGCTACTGTGGAGGGGTGCAGGGCTTGGAGGAGCTTTATCAGGGAGGGACATTGCCAGGCACACAGGAAAGAACTATCTGCAGAGGTTTTTGTGGGAGGGCTGTAGGGCTTCAAAATAGGGCTTCTTTTTTAAAATTTCCATCTTAATTTTTTATTCCTTAAAATTGTAATATAATTACATCATTTCTCCCCCTCCTGCTATTCCCTCTAAATACTTCATGTGCCCCCCATCTTTCAAATTCACACACTTTTCTCTTTAGTTATATGTATTCTTAAATACATAAATACAAACTGCTCAATCCATATAATGTAATTTGTATGTATGTTTTCAGGGCTGACCATTTAGCATGGAAAACCAATTGGTGTGCTTGGAATCCCAGAACTCTAAGGTAGAGACAGGCAGACTCCTGGGGCTCCTGGCCAGCCAACGTAGCCAAAGCAGTGACCTTCAGGCTCAGTGAGCGACCCTGTCTTTTCAGATGTGCTGAGTGCTTGACTTCCTGTGCCCCCACATGTGTATGTGCACCCCCTGACTCTCACGTGTCCCCACGTGTGTATGTGCACCCTCTGACTTCCATGTGCCCCCA